TAATGTTGTAGTGTAGATCGGTTTTTGTGACCTTGTGATCCTCTTTGATCAATTGACACTTTTATGTTAATTGCTTTATAACACCTAATATATATATATATGCTATATATGCAAAAATAGTGAAAATCAAAATTTGAAGAAAGAGGAGAGGACGAGATAAGGTCTTATCTTTTTCTCAGGTGAGAAAAAGAAGGCGAAAGGAATGACAGAAGAGAGGAAAAAATAAGGGGCATAAAATATACCTGTCTAGGTTAACCTCAGCATAATCACATGTATAAAGTAATGTCGCAGGGTCTGACATTAGGGTTTTCAACAGATGGGTCAGCAAACTGTGTGTATGGTTTCTTTACCCTGAGGACAATCTAATTCTAGAAACACATAGCTTGTGTAGCATCAGAAAATTCTGTCTTGAATACATGATTTAGCCTCATACTTACATACTTACATTTTTTCCCTATGTGCTATTATCATACATTTATATCCTAACACCGAGTTTAGGCCCACAGGGTTACATTTTTGTTTTTACTCACTGTGAAGCATAAAACTGCATGAGTGTTGCATGTTAAACAGTTAGGTTTGAGGGCATCAAGAATGCACACATCCCCTCCAAGATATTGTATTTATTTTTCAAGTGTATTAACTTCAAGTAGGATAATAATTATCATGCCTAAGGAATCAAGACCAGGCAATAGGGATTTGTTGAGACTTTTTATACAATGTAAAGAAGATTTCTGTGGTTAAAGCTAATACTTGGATATTTAAAGAATTGTATAAAATATGTAGGGTAGATATGGTACTTAGATCTAAAATAATTAACAAAAGAATTGTACATGTAGAGTTTAGAGAGAACAGTACTATAGCAGTGTACTTGGAAAGACTCAAGGGCATTAAATAGTATAAGTCAACAGTGTGAAATTAATTGTAAAGCTATATTGATCATGACCTGTATTGTACAAAACTAGAAAAAGAGAGGCAAGAATTTACTTTATTCTTTGCTGATGATTATGAAATTCAGATCTGAGGACATATGTAAACACTAAGATATTCAGAAAGGAGCAACTAGCTTGGTGAAAGTTTTTTTTGCCGGGTGCGGGGGAAGTTTGGAAATAGCAGTAGAATTGAGTTGTGTAATTTAAAGAAAATACTTGAGTATGATAACTCTAATAGTTATGATGTTTTCCATTGCAACTTAAAGAAATCCAACTCAAGCTGGTTTCAGTAACAAAGATAATTCATGTACTCATGTACCTCAGAAACAAAAGGATTTCAAATGAGGCTCAATCCAAAGACCTGATTTATCTTTCTCTGTATTATTCATCTACAATGTATACCCAAACTGGCTGCCACTCTTTCCCTTCTTTGTGTCAAGATATCTTTTGGCAAAAAATGAGGGCTATGTGCTTCTTCTTTCATAAGAAATGTGTCTGAAAAACCATTTCCCTCTACTAGCTCATTGAAAGAAAAAAGAATTTTCCCATGCTTGTAATCAGGGAAATGCAAATCAAAACTACAATGAGATACCATCTTACACCAGTGAGAATGGCACATATTAAAAAACTAGCAACAGCAAATGTTGGTGAGGATGTGGAGAAAATGGAACTCTCCTGCACTGTTGTTGGGAGTCCAACCACTATGGAGAGCTGTGTGGGGATTCCTCAACCTGCTAAAGATAAAGCTTCCATATGATCCAGCAATTCCACTCCTAGGTATTTACCCAAAGGACACAGAAACATTAATTCAAAAGGGCACCTGCACCCCTGTGTTTATAGCAGCACTATTTACAATAGGTAAGCTATGGAAATGACCCAAATGCCCAAAAATAGATGACTGGATCAAGAAGATGTGGTACATAGACACAATGGAATATTTCTCAGCAATCAAAAAAGATGAACTCATGCAATTTGCAGCAACATGGATGGAGCTGGAAGGGATCATACTCAGCGAAATAAGCCAGAAAGAAAAAAATACCGGATGGTCTCACTCATAGCAGGAATTTAGAACACCTGAATAAGGGACTAGGACAAAGACTAATTATAATAAAGTAAAAATCAAAATCAACAAGCAATTATAAACGAGAGACACACTACAGGGTGGGAGAGAAGGGACTAGGATCAAAATGAGGGTGGTAGGAATTGTATGGGTACTATAACCAAGATGAAAATGCATATATTGTGCAAAAATGAAAAAATGATGTAAAAATATCTAAGATAAAAAAAATCAGTTGTTTTAGAATAGAGATTTTTGAAACTAACAGTTAACCAAGAAATAACCTTTATAATAGTTAACATTAGCTATGTGCATGGCTGCTGTGGGTTATAGTTTTCAACTATTTTACATAGATGATGCCAGAGTGGTAAAAAAATAGAAGTAGTGAGGAAACATATACCAACTTGACTAAAAACAAACTGGCTAACAAATCAGTAGTGAATTCTTATTAGTGAGAATATTCAAACATGTGCTAGATGACTTGGTATAAGACTAAATATTCAAGTCCAATGATGGGGACAAATAGGAGAGTCTCAAATGTCTTAACCAAAAGTTCTTCTTACTAATATCCCACAGATGAGTTCCTTTTCTAAAACCCCCTCTGCTTATCCCTGAGAAACAGCTGTCATTTCTCTGCCAGCCCATATAGAATTATTCAAACAACCTAGTCAGGTGCTCATATGAGAACCAAGAATCCCCCACTCTCTTGATGCTTCCCATAACTTCTGGTTGTCTACACTTTCTGATGCAACATGCATGTGAACATGGATGACACACAGTGTCCTCTTCCCCGGGCTGTGATTATTAAATTCCTTTCAATCTCGTCTGCCCAATGTGTTCTGCTGTGTGTTTGGCCATTTCCATAATTCCAGAATGGGAATCCTTCCCTTACCCATTAATGTTGGAGAAGAAAAAGATTCAAACTTTAGTTAAATAGTTGAAATAAATGATTTGTGGGCTTTCTTGCAATTCCAAGAGTCTACTTCTGTGTCTCCAATACTAGTAAAAGCATTCATTTTATATTTTCAAAATATAGATACAGCAGTTTATCTCTTTTTCAGCACCCATTAGGTTATTTTATAAAGTATCTCTTCCTTTAAACTCTAAGTTCCAAAAGCCAGGCTTTATTAATTTTTTTATACTTCCAAATAGCATAATGCCTGATGCATAGCAGATATTTAATGAATATTTAGTGAACAAATTTGAAAATTACTTTCTCCATCAGACTATGAAGAAAAGTTACCAGTGTGCTGTGAAGTTCTCCTTTAAAAGCATAGTATTTTCAGTAAATACCATAAATGTAATTTCCCCATCACTATTAAAACACATACTTATAACTACACACCTGTAGACAAAGCCCAATTTTTCTCATTCCTCTTCCAAAGTGTATGCCAGTTGCCCTAAGGCTTCTGAAGAACCCTGAAGGCAGCATCTCGGTCTGTGTAGGAAGGAGAATTAGTATAACTGTAAGGTGATCCCAACTCCTTTCCTGTGTGTTAATTCTGAATCCTCCATTCACTTCAAAAATCCCTGCTGAGAGCTAAAACATTGCTTCTGCAAGAAGTTACTCATTTTAGGCATAGTTTCAGTTCAACTGTATGGCTGTGCAGCACAACCTGTCTTAGAGGTTTGATATCTATTTTTCTATGATTTTTGTTTTTATTGCTTGTTTTATTTTAAATTGGCTTCCTTACTAAATTGTCTTTTTTCCAGTCTTACTAAGATACAGTTGACTTACAGCACTGTGTAGTTTTTTTAAGGGATACAAAATAATGGTTTGACTTATATATATGTGAAATGATTACTGCACTAAGTTTATTTAACATACATCACCTCATAGAGATACAAAAAAAGGATAGAGAAAGAACTTATGATATCTACTCTCTTAACTTTCATATATATATATATATATATATATATATATATATATATATATATATACACACAGCAGTGTTACCTGTAGTCATCATGTTGTACAATACATCTCTAGTACTCATAACTAGAAGTTTCTGGACCTTCATCCGGTTCCCCTTCTCTTTATCCCTCATATCTGGTAAACACAAATCTGATCTCTCTTATTTATTGGTTTGTTTTCTCTTTCTCTCTCTCTCTCTCTCTCTCTCTCTCTCTCTCTCTCTCTCTCTCTCTCTCCACACACACACACACACACACACACACACTTATAAGATTCCACTTATAAGTGAGATCATATTTGTCTTTATTTGACTTATTTCATTTAGCCTAATGCCCTCAAGTTTTGTTCATATTGTTGCAAACAGTAGGATTTCCTTCTTTCTGATGGTTGAATAATACTCAGTTGTGTATATGTACCACAGTTTCTTTCTGTTCATCCGCTGATGGACACATAAGTTGTTTTCATATTTTGACTATTATAAGTAATGTTTAGGAGCATGAGTATACAGATTTCACTTCAACATACTGTTTTTCTTTCCTTCAGATGTACATATTGCCAGAAGTGAAATTGCTGCATAATATAATAGTTCTATTTAAAATTTTTTTATTTTAGAAACCTCCATACTGTTTCCCAGTGTCTGCCCCAACATACACTCTCATTAATAGTGCATAAGGATTCCCCTTTTCCATGTACTTAATGACAAACAATGGACAGTGGTTCCCTTTGCTTTGTGTCCTTACCAATTGTTATCTCTAAACTTATTGTTCTGATAGAATGACATATGCTTCTTTTCTCAATCTATCGATTTAAGAAAAAAAATTTAGAAAAAATGAAATACCTGGTCTGCCAAAGAAATTTTTCTAATTCACAAACTTGCTGTATACCTTCACAGAGGTATAAAATAAATTGTGCTTATTAGCAAGAATGAAATTATGTCACATTACCTCTAGTGTTTGTCTTTATATTGTGTCAAGCATGTGGTAAACATAATTATTAAATCTGTTTTGGCCAAATCATCTAAATAGCATGTGCTCCTTTCCTTTGATCATAGACCTTAAAGATTTTGAAGCGTTTTCTACATTTCCTGGTTTATTCACAGTAAACAGATACGAGCTCTACTAGCCCAGTTCAGCCAGGCAGAAGCCTTGTTGATGAAAGGTGGGGTGCAACCAGGAACTTTGGATGGAGTTCTTTTCGACCTTGGGTGTTCCTCCATGCAACTTGATACTCCTGAAAGAGGTTTTTCCCTTCGGAAGGACGGCCCCTTGGACATGAGGATGGATGGTGACAGGTGAGTATTGATAATACATTTCTCCCCACAGGCAGAAGTCAGATTCTCAGAACTGTTCTGAATTTAATTTCCTTTTAAGACTTAGAATGCCCATCACACACCAACACCTAACACTATCCATATACAATAAATCAATTTTGTTTGCTACTCATTATTATATAGATTAGTGTTTCTCTAGATTTGGGAATTTAAAAGAAAAAAATCCTTGTCATCTTTATATAAAGTAGTGAAGGCAATAACTTTCATACTGATTATTTTTACAGATATAGTGTGGGCTTTTAGACTACTAACAATTTTGATAAATATGATTCTACAACAGTGATTCCATTTTTATACAGAACCAAATATATGCCTCTTAGGAGAAGTAAACAAAACTAATATTCCTTTGAATATTGTATAAAAGCAAGATCCTAGAGGTCAGCAATTGTGTTTTGTCTTGCCTCTTGTACACTGTCATTGGTTCAACCTTCTTCAGAGAAACTACAATTTATGGCACTATATTAAGTCTGCATAGGACAGCTTTATATTTGCTCTTCATTAATCATCACCCTGGAAATACCAGTTTTTGTTCTCCACTATACCTACAAAGCTTAACTATATTTTTCTCACCTTTCCCACCACCACAAATTATGTGTCATGGATTCTACCATTAGAAAGCTCACCACCTAAAAAAAGCATCATACTCTTTTATCTAAATAAGCAAACTATTCTGTTACTGTTGCTGATCTGCAATTCTAGACCTGTATAAGCATTTCTACTGAAAAACATAGTTTTTGAAAATTTTTCCAATTTGTTAGATGGACCGATATATGAGAAATTTCATGTCCAAAACTCTTTTGACTTGTGGTAGATTTTAACATGTTGCTGTATGTCCTATTAATTTGCATGGTGACTTGTACTTGTGGGACCTTTTTCTTTCTGATGCTTATACCTTCTTTTGTATAAATTGGCATTCATAGAATGAAGAATATGATCATAAAAGAAAATAATAAAAATCCTTATATTAAAGGTCAAATATCGTCTCATGTTTGGAGATTGAGGTTCTTGTGCAGAGGTAATAAAATGGCAAGCAAATTTCTGATGGTCTATATCTTGGTAAGGAAGATGCCTTCTGAAATACAATGAGGAAAACTTTTAGTTAATAGTAGTAAATCCCCATGTTGTTAATATAAAGATTTATTAGCAAATTGTGCTCTGTGAATCAGAGTTTCTGAGGTTCACCCTTAAGACCTTGAAAATAAGATTTCCCTTGAGAATTAAATTCTAATTCTGTACATAATGGATGAGATTAGAATTGAGCAAATATATCTTAAAAAGCAGAATGGCTTCCAGGTAGACAGTACAGACTCTAACCTCATTAAAGATATTTTTTAAAGACTTTTTTTTTTTTTTTTTATAGAGGCATGCTTTATTTATTTGTTTGCTGGTTTGTTTGTTTGTTTTGTTTATACATGCACTGGGTACAGTCAGAAGCGCGGGAGGGCGAGAGAATTCACCAGAGCCAGAGCGGGGAGCAGAGCAGGCAGAAGGACCGAAGCACACTGCTGAGGGGAGCAGCGGGCGGCAGGAGAGGTCTGTGCGCCATGTGGGACCCTCCTCTGGTGGCCGGGGAGCAGCCGGGGATCGAACCGGCGCCGCAGAGGCCGCGCGCAGCTTCGCAACCCAGCGCTCAACCGCTGCGCCACCGGGGAGGCCCCCTCATTAAAGATATTAACAGATCTGAAGAAAGTATGTGGCATTCAGAAAGAGGTAGTTGGTTCATGTGAATTCACAGAGAAAGGAGAGTCCAAGATGCAAGTATGTGTACTACTAATCCAGGTGGGGTACTGTGGGGCTGGTCAGATCCTGGAGGCTGGTGATGAACATGAGAGCAAGAGGCTTTCTTAACCTGTTGCCATTTAACACTGATACCTTATAGCATGGTTTATTCTGTGCTACCCCAGTTTCACCAATGGGTTTCAAATTATAATAAATTTCTCATGTAGCAGAGTGACATTCACAGCTTCAAGAACTTGTGGGTCTAAGTCTGTTGTTAGTTGCAATTTCAATAGAAGTTAATAAATAAGTCACAACTTTTGTTAATATTTTTTCTCTAATACCTTAAGTCATTTTAAGTTGATGATGTCTGGAGGACTGACAAGATCTCTTAACCAGTTAAGTTGGGGGTGCAAAGCATGCACCTTGACTTCTTTACTATATGAATGCCTATTCTGAAGCCTCCCAGCAACACCTTTCCAGGATGTTGCTGCCTTCTACCTTGTAGTACTATGGAAATTTCTATGCTACTATTTAATGTTAACACAAGTAAAATAAAATTATGCTTATTATTCACTGAACTAATTTTGAACAAAATGCTGTTTTAATTTTCTTACTTAAAAGTAGAAATTCATAGAAAAAACTGCTAAGTACTCCTATACTAATATTTGAAATGTGCTGGTACAAGAAGACTATATCCTATGGAATCTAATTTTACTATCATAAACAAGACTCATTCTAATGTTTAGTAGCTTGGGCAGTTAAATTCATAACTAGATAAGATCCAATGGTGATTTTTGTCAGTCTGGCTAAGAATAATGATTAGCAAATACAGGAATGGGGAAGATTTAAGGAACAATGTAGCATTGTTTGACATTCCCTATATGCCAGGCATTATACTGTTTTACACTTGGCACCCATAATTCTCCCAACAGTTCTGTGAGGTAAGCATTGTTACTTTCATATCATGGGTTAGAATCTGAAGGAGAGGGTTATGGGGAGGGAGATCATAGCAAAAATAGAGGATAAATGAAGGACAACAGAATGTTCTCCCAGAGATTCTAGGTGTTTACAAGGTGCAATGTAGTATTTTCAAGGAGGGATTCAGATGTTTCCAAGCAAGTCCACTCTGTTTTGATCCTCAGGTCTTAAAGTTACTATATCTTTGTAATTTTAAGTTCTCATAAATGAAACCAACAATCAATCTAACATGCTAATTGTAATAATAGTAACTGTACTATTAGCAAAACTAGTAAGTACAGCCTCCATCAGCTCATCACTTAGTAGTCCATAACCCATTTCCCTAAATCATACTGCAGTGATCAGGCAAAATGAATGATATTATCCGCTATTATTAATATATTTTTTCTATTTGACCAGAGGTTGGTATTTCTTTGATTCTTTCATCAAAAATTGCCATCTAATCTTGCTTAGTACTTTTTGTTGATTCTAGTCAATTACCCCGTGGTGACCTTTTGTCATGGGTGGATAGCCAATAATTGTTAAATATTTAAATAATATATGTTATTGTCTTTTACAGCTCGAGTTTTTGTGAAGGAAACTGACCTGCAGCTTTCTTTTTGTATAGATTCTTGCTGTATTTTCCAATATATGTTTTTGGTTATTTATATTCTATAGATGAGTGAAACAAGCCAATATCTATCTTTCACTTTCTGATTTATTTCACCTAACACAGTCACCTCAAGTTTTACCCATTTTGTCCCAAAAGATGTTATTTCATCTTTTTTTAATAGCAGTGTAGTAATCCATTGAGTATACAGTCCACATTTCCTTATCTAGTTATCTGCCATTAGGCACTTAGGTTGGTTCCATGACTTGGCAATTATGGACAGTTTTGCTATGAACATGGGCATATACGTCTTTCATGTTAGAGTTTTTGTATTTTTTTGGTAAATACTTTGCAGAGGTATTGGATCATATGAGATTTCAATTTTTATTTTATTATGAAATCCCCACACCATTTACTCTAGAGAGGCTGCATCAACTTGCATTCAACTGACAGTGAAGGAAGGGTCCTTTTTCTCACATCCTAACCAACATATATTATTTCCATTTCTTTTATATGGGCCATTCTCACAGGGGTGAGGTGATAATTCATTGTGGTTTGATTTGCATTTTTCCTTGTAGTAAATGATGTCTAACAAATTTTCATGTGTCTGTAGGCCATCTAAATGTCTTCTTTAGAAAAATGTCTTTTTAGATCTTTTGCCCATTTCTGATTGGGTTGACTTTTTTTGTTGATAGATTGTATAGTACTTTGCATATTTTGGGAATTAGCCCCTTGTCAGATGTGTGATATACAAATATTTTCTCCTTGTGTAGGTTACGTTTTTGTTTCTGTGAAGGTTTCTTTTATCCATCTGTAAGCCTTGTATCTTCTGCACTGAAAAAAATTTCGCACAGTAATTTAAATTTTGAAAAACTAAATCTAAGCATTTTCAATATTTTTTGTTTGGGAAAATAAGCATGAGCAATAATAGCTACCTTCTGAGTTAAAGGTTAATACAATAGTTTAACTTCATGCTGCCTTTGACTTGATGAAAGTCACATATCTTCCCCGCATACCATAATGATGGTCATTTGAAATGAAAAATCTATTTTTCTCATGTAAGATTTCAGTCTTAGACTTTAAAAACCTCAGAAACTCTCTTAGACTGTGTGTGCATGCCTGACTTTCTGTCTCAGAAGTCTGAAGGTTCACCTCTTATCGATGAAAACCAATGTCAATGAGCTAATTTGCTCTTCTTTTGTGTAGGTACCCTGACATGCCCACTGCAGCTGATGTTGTGAACGCTTTAGATCAACAGGCACTTGCATCCATCCTGAGAACATACGGGGAAGAGAAGCACGCCAAGAAAATCGCTTCAGCAATCATTCAAGCACGCAGCATCTACCCCATCAGCAGAACCCAGCAGCTTGCCAGTATTGTTGCAGGTACCCTCATTAATTCTGAACAGTGTCTGAGAGAGGGGCGGGGAAGTGTGTGTTTGTGTGTGTGTGTGTGTGTTAATCCCCCAACTCCCAAAGGGATTCATTTGTACTTGAATTCATGCAAGACAGAATCTTGCCTGTCTTTCCATCACACCAGCTTTCTTTTGGTTTTGCAAACCTCCCCCCTCCACACCTCTCCCCCACACACAATGTTAAAATATATACTGTAGTTTACTGAGTACTTTAATTATATATATATATATATATAATATATATATATATATATATATAAATAACTTAACACATGGTAATCTATCATTTGTGCCTACCAAGGTGAGGTTGGAATGACAAGAGCAGAATTTCTTGATCCATCATAGTGGTTGATAAGCGTCCTTTATAAGACCTGACATTATTTCTCTTAGTTTCACATTTCTGCATTTTAATATTTTGGGCAAAAGGAGAATTGCATTGCCCAATTGCTAAAATAAAATCCAGTGACTCATACATCTATTCTAAACAACCAGCTAACAAAGGGTATGTGATGTATAGGTTATTCCACTTTGTGAATGCTAACTAAATCAGCCTGAGGGCCTTATTGAAACATTTCATCTTTTCTGCTGTTCGTCACCATAACCCTCTTGAACTTAAGTCTAGATGGGAGGCGCTTTATTATAGCCTTTCTGTTTGAAGCCAAAGTTGTTTCACAGCTGTGTTCCATGATGAAAGTTTTCCAAGGCAAAAATACAGTTCCCACAGTTTTTTAGTAGAATTCCAATGTAAATTCTCATCTTCTATAGACTGAAACCCTAAATCATTTTCATTTACCAAATGTCTTAAAATTTCTTTTCAATAGTTTCTATTATTTAAGTAAAGAAGTTTATAAATAAAATAGAATATTGACTGCCTCTATCTTAATATTATCCATAGTTTGAGTAAAACAATTATAAATCTTAAGATCAAGATTTAGAGATTATATAGCAATGGTTTTATGATATGATTTTATAAGGCTTTAATTCAGATATTATAAGAAAATATAAAGTGACTAATTTTTTAAACTGCATACCTCAAGGTCCTTCTTACCATTGAAATGGTAATCAGTAAGTAAGAACAATATTTTTGTTGTTTATGTAAACATTAAATATTCCATGGTCTCTAATCCTCAAAAATTCTACTTTAGCATAATGACATTAAATTTACCCTCTGTCTTATATCCCTTTTTATCATCCTACTCCACACTAACATGTCTCTACTTTATCCTTTCTGTTATTCTCTAACTAGGTATGTATGTTGTTCTCGCTGTCCCATGTTGGGAAGAACAGTGGAAAAGTCACACTTTTTTTTTTTTTTAAATAAGAAAATCCAGACTATTCTGGTGCTAAAAATGAGGGCTCTGGGCTAAGAGGGCATCCTAGATATCATCCACTAAAAAAGCCTCATCTGGTAGCTAAAAGAACTAAGGCTAGGTAAAGGGAGGTCAACAATTTCCTCGAGGTTACAGCCTTATTAATTACAAAGCTGGTATACTAATCTAGAATTTGGAAGCTTGTGAAAAATTAGGAATCTGCCTTTCAGAAACTGAGTTAACTTTTCTGTCTCAGGAACCTAATCAGCAAACTTGGAGAAATAAAACTGTGATATTAGATACAAATTATATGAAACTATATACTAGGAACTATTTAACTATTTTCAGAACAACTGTGATGTTCAAATATATTAGAACTATGACAAATGATGCAGTGAACATGATGTGTAGGTAAAAGTCAATTTTAGTAAATACTGTTAAAAGATTGAGTTCTCTATAATGATTCCATTTTTATGGTTCAGGTTGACCTATAATAAGACTTTACTATTGATTTAATTCTTTGGAAAAGAGAAAAACAGAGAAAAAAAGTGAGTTTCCATTTTGTGCTTGCTTGCTATTCATTTTTTCCCCTAGACCTATATTCTCCATTTAGTTACCACTAGCCACATGTGTCTGGAATTCTTGAAATGTGGTTACTCCAAATTTAAAGGTACCATAGATGTAAAATGTAGAATAGATTTTTAAAATGAGTTTTAAAGAAGAATTTAATATACCTGGAATATTTGTTGTAATGGCCATATTTCAAATATATTGGGTGAAATACAGTATTAAAATTAACTCTGCATGTTTCTTTTTGCTTTCTTAATATGGCTATGGAAAAATTTAATAAAAGTGTAATAACATAAATCACATTTTTTAGTGGCCAGCAATGTCCGAGGTGATAACGCCGGGTGCGGGCACTCTTTTACTCATCACTGTGCCCCGGGGCTTATCATAGCTTTGACCTTTTGAAGGTGCTTTATAAATACTTTTTCAGGGTTAATGTATAAAATAAACAAAAATTCACATTGATGAGGAAGATTCTACTTTCCTAATTTGTATTCAATGAAATACCGTCAACGTTAATTTAAAAAATGATGTTTAGGCTTGTGAAACAGTGAAACTTCCATATCAGTGTCTGAACTTGACATTAAAGTATTTAGATAAATTAGAAAAATTTCTTTCCTGATAGTTTATTCATCTTTAGATTAAAATGATATCCCTCTTTAGTTTCTTAGGGATACTGCAAAGAAAAATAATACTCTCTTACTGTCAGAATATCTTAAAGTATGAAACAGTTAAAAACATTCCTTAATAGTCAAAAAAGAATCTTTAATAATGGACAATGAGACATATAAAAACTTTCAAGCTCTTCAAGAAAGATTCAAACACTTAATTTTGGAAAAAAAAATTGTTGAGATTTAGAATTTGCAGAATTAAGGTAGTCTTAAAGTGGGACGGTTCTAGACAACTGTTTGAATTAAAAAGTTTGGTTATTTTCCTCATAATAAAGGATGTTCATATTTTATATGTATTAGAAAGAGCATATTCCATTATTCTTTCCAGTTCTCGATACATCAAGGAAAATAAAGTACTTTCAATTATTTTTTTAAAGATTTATTTATTTATTTATACAAGCACTGGGTACAGTCAGAAGCACAGGAGAGTGAGAGAATTCACCAGAGCAAGAGCAGGGAACAGAACAGGCAGACTTGATGAAATATACTGCTGAGGGGTGCAGAGGGCAGGCAGGAGAGGTCTGTGCGCCATGTGGGACCCTCACTGGCAGCCAGGGATTGAACCGGTGCTGCAGAGGCTTTGGGCAGCTTCGCAGCCCAGCGCTCAACTGCTGCGCCACCAGGGGAGGCCCCTCAATTATTAATTTAAATCTAGTTTAATGAAAATATCTTAGTTTAAGTTTGGTTCTACAACTTACTTTCAGTGTACACATGAACAGTTCTAGACTTCATCTTTCTTTTCTTGAAATGGAGTTGAATAATTTTTTGTACTACCATTGTTACTTTATCAAATATAACCCTAGTAATTATATTTTATTTAAATTGATATTGATAATTCACTTTCAGTCTGTAAGCCTATATGAAAATCAAGTAACTAATGTCATCATTTTTCACATCATTGGGATTTAGATTCAGATTTTTCAAAACTGATAATTCACTGATAATCAAAGAATGACAAGGCTCAGAATATCATTATTTGAATAGGAAAAAGACAAGGAGAAGCTTCTAAAATATGATTCAATCTCATTGATTAAATATGTACACTTATACCCTACCTGAAATTTTTATGTAACCTTTATTCTGACTCATGGACTGGGTAAATAGGTAGAGCTTAATGAATACTTATTGAACAAATAAATCAATTAGGATATGTGACTATTCCCAGCCAAAGTAAAATGAAAATTCAAGGGGAAAAGTATAAGTTGTTAGATGTTACTGAGAATCAGTTATAGCCTGTCCTTCACAATCAAGAGAGTAAACCCCTAAACATCAAAGTTCTCACTATAAATTAAAGGATCTTGAGGAATAAGTGAAATACCTTAGGACATTGTTTTACCATTATTTGCTCTATGAAGTTGAGTAAGTCACTTAACTTCTCAGATCCCCATCTTCTTACATGAAAATAGGAACAACAATTCTTGGTGCATAGGAAAGTTCTCTGTGAATTTTAAAGTACAAGTACACTTTTAAGCATTTTGTTCTCCTCTGTCCAAAACTGGGATGACCCAGATTGCAAACAAAGGGTCCTGGTCAGAACCCTGAATGTTGTCTTCTCCCCAGGAATACCTGTCCACAGCCTTATAGTTTGAGCCTAGCTAGACTGATTACTTCATTCAAAACTGTTCTTCCCTTGTGGTTATATAACTTTTAGGAGGAATAATAATTACCTTTTTCTGCATTGGTACATGTGAGGTGTGTGTTTCCACAGTAGCATTAATGGTTCATGTTTCAACTTGTGTCTGAAATCATCTTCTTTTTAGCTAAATTTTGTTAATCCAAAGAGAAATCTTTGAAATAATAAAATTAAAAATTAAGAGTGGTCATTGCGATTAAATTTTAGTGGAACTTAACTTTTTCCCAGTGAATTTATTAATCAGACTAGTTTGCCATCCATTTATCTTTTTAATTAACCTATATGTTGCTTTCTTCATCTTCCCCAGATAGCACTAACATTGCCACAATTAAGATATAAATGAAGATGTCAGAGTTCAATTACCACTCATTTTTAACACTCATTTTTCTGTCATCTCAAATCTCTTGAGTTCAGTCTGTTACACTCTGTGTGTATCAGTATGGTAACTTCATGCCAATTAAATTATCACATGACATTTCATAAGCAAACATCTCTTATTTTAATAAGTAACTTTCCAAGAGACAACCTGTACAAGTCCAACTTGGAAGAGAATGAAATGTGGGGAAAAAAAAGGGAAAAGCCTAAAAATCTTTCCACCTGAAATAATCTGGCTAGTCTCAGTTTTAAGTACCAAGTGGGGAGCAGGGAGAATGCCCCAATCCCAAGTGACTTTGAGCCATGCTTAATTTAATAATAATAGCAATAAATAATATTTCTTATTGAGCATAGATTGTCCTAAATTATTTTTATTTTTTTTGAAGATTTGTTTATTTATGCATATAAGAACTGG